AGTTGATTGTTAAGAGAGAAGACCTTCTGTGTATTTCCTTGAATGATGATGCTGTTGATCTAAGATGTGTTGCTCGTTACTCACGTTAATGGCCGCGTTGAAATAGGGAGTGTCGTTCTTGTCCTTGAGTGTTAGAGCCCGTTGGCTGTGAGTAGTTGTTTGAATTTCTTTTCTTATTTTTTCAGTCACCTGGAAGGAAAGCGAATCATATGTTAAACGCGTAGGTTACCTCGGGATGATTGAGTAGGAAGATCAAGCCCCACATTAGAGTCGTTGTGGTTGTCTCTTGTCCAGCAATCCATATATCTAACAAGTTTATCAAAAGAGAGCGTTCCCTGAACATCTGACCATTCTTTGAGAATCATAACTCCGTACTCACGTAAAGCCGGAGCTAGGGTTATCTTTTTCGTTTTCTATTTTCTTCATATAAGCGTCGACATAATCAGTTCCTTCATCGACGATTATATGTTCTCCTGAACGTACGGCTTCTTTCCTTAAACACAGTTGAAGTCGGAATTTCTGGTCAGATCTTACCTCTCATTAACTTGCTTTTGCACAAACTCCAGCAAGTTTACAATTGGTTGCATGAACTTTTCATAGCTGGACTTGATGACTGGAATGTTCATCATCCATGGTGCCATATACAGATCGGTTATGTTGATTCTTTTACTTGCGTTGTCTATTTCATCTTTCAGACGGAAGAATTCATCCTGGTTACTCTTCAAATGAATCTGGTGAAAAGACAAATAGTAGAGTTGATAACCTCCGTGAAGCGAACAGAAAACAGTAAGCGATTGATAATACTTCCAACCATCAGGTTCATAAGTGTTTTCGCATTTTCAACATGATTTTTGTTTTTCTTGATTTTTGCATCCAACTCAGCCATCCTGTAACAAATGAATCGGATGATGAGAACGCTGTGGCGCTTTTCACCTCAAATCGAATTCCATCATGATTCTTTCTTCAATGAGATTTCTGCCAACTCCAAAGTTTCTCAAGGTCTGTAAAGTGAATCGTCGTTGATCCTGCCAGTAGTCTCCATTGGAGAAAAGTATTCCTGCTCCGTCTCAAATGAATAAATTGATTTTGATATAAAAGACAATCTCGAGTACTTCTAATGAACTGAAAGAGGAATGGAGACCATCGTTCAGCAAAGTTGTTTCCTTGTTTGACCATTAACTCATGAGACAATTCCAAAGAGGCAATATGTACTGTAGGCAGAGGACCCATCCAAAGAGTGAATATATCACCAAACTCCTAATGATATTCTACATTGTAATCGCGAGTAGGAGTAAATTACCTTTTGACAAACTCTAAGAGCTTTAGCTAGAGATCCTTCTTGCCAGACATAAAGGGCTAGTTGAGGCAGATTTCCGAGGAACAGAATTGGTACAGGGCCTTAATCAATATATTCGTAGATAGATAGTGGTCATAGCACTATATGAAGTACCTGGTGGCAACTTAGCCCTTCTGGCCATCACATATATGTGATATGCCGCAATCAGAAAAACAAACAGATACAACAGCATGATGCTACTCTCCGGTTATACTTGGTGTTCAATTTGGGGGTATTTATACTCTCGTTAGTCCGATAATTGAACCCCACGCATACATGGCAAGATAGCTAAAAACTAGACCCCGCTTCCCCTGTTGACTAAGGGAATCTGAAGAATCAATAAGATAGTTTGTAGGAAAGTGTAGTGTCCACTGTGCTTTGTAGTATGCATGTGTTATCTGTTAGTAAGATAAGATTACAAACAACATGATTATCAGTGTGAAATCCTCTCGCTACGGTGAATATCGCCGGAGCGTAGAACCGCTATGGTACTTGAGGAAGAAGCTTGACGTTTCATGAAACAGATGGCTAATTTGGAATGTTTCTATCCACATACCAACTACGAATGACTCAAACAAGTTATCAAGTAATACAAAGAAAGTGAAGTTGAAGTTTACTTCGTATGAACCAACTTGGATCAATAACAACTCTAACCCATCATCCCATTCAGATTTTGATTCTTGTCCTCAGGCAAGCCGTTAGAGTCTACATGCTAACTGTATTTGAGGTGCAATCTAAAAATTTAAATTTTTTTACTTTTCATCCGTGGAATTGAAAATGCCTCGCGTATACGGTAAGAACATGTGAAAATGAGCTGAAAGAGTACAAACATGAACGAACTGAAGTGAGAGAAATCGATAGTTGGTTTACTACAAAGACTGTCAGCTGATAACTCAGATGGTTAACTAGATCTTCTGTATTTAACTCTTGTATGATTACGGTAGAAGGAGTTCACCTATGTCCTTAACCTTACGTATAATTAGTATGGTTTTCTGCTTTTTTCAGACTCACAGCGAACAACAAGTAACTTCTGAGATAATCCGTTACTTGCTCAGTGGAGTCAACGATAGAAAAAGGAGGGAAATCATACTGCCACATCTTCATTTTACTCGAATCCGGGGCATACTCATGCCTGTCTCCATTTCCATATAACTTCAGATTCGTTAAATACTTTTGTCTTCTTTTCCTCACCAACCAACATCATCTGCAACGCCCTTGTATCTCTCATGTATTCTATCTCACCTAGGGCATCCAACTACTAACCCGCTATCTTTCAAATCAAACTCTGTTCAATTGAGACATGTTATACATCTAATCGAGAGTATCAAATGAAATCGCTTCTTACCTACAAGATAAGCTTATTTGATTGTAGTAGATCTATGACACTAAGGAAAAGTTATCTAACTTATTAGATTAACGAATAAGTTAATCTTACTGCTTATTTGTCCATCCTACTCAGTCCAGTCGAGTTGTAAAGGGATTTCATTCTTCACTCGTAGGTTGAGTAAACGGTCGTTTTCATTTTTTCCTTTCAGAAGAACTTTATTCTCTCTATGACACCCTCAATGAAGTTATCGGTAGTAACAAGATCTTACTGTTCCAACTAGCAGGAGCAGAGAAACAACTTAGCGAGATGGAAGTTATCTTGTACTACAACTATGTCTCTGAACAAGTATTACGGAATGAAAAATTGTAAACATTCCATAATTTATCCAACAGTTCCGTTTCACTTCGTTAAGATTCAGCTGACTCAGCAGAATGCTTAGAATCTTGACAACAAAAATCTAAGAACGTAAACAGCTTAACCGAACTTATTTCCCAAACATAGATATAAACTCACTCCACCTAAAGGTGCAGAACAAACTTTAACACGAATGATGACTGACATTCTCGAATGTCAAAGGGTGATCACACTTTTCCAACGCAGCGGTAGGTAGTGAACGGTCATAGTTTATAGTTACGACTGAAAGTAAAGATTATGGGACCATCGCAATCAACAGGATGAAAATAAATGAGTAAAACTTTAACTTTGTCAGCGGGGGACGTTTGGCTTCTCTCTTTTCACTCACGAGCAAGAAGTGAGAAGCCTAGCCATGAACCCCAAACATGGCGACTCGTCCCGAGAGTCTTAACTTTGCTCCACAAAGTGGGGGGTGTGAAATGACATGAGTTAAATACAATNCGTCCCGAGAGTCTTAACTTTGCTCCACAAAGTGGGGGGTGTGAAATGACATGAGTTAAATACAACGATAACAAGTTAAAAAGAATAACTGCTACTGCTACTGCTCCAACCACATCCTCCACGTCCATGTTGAACATCCAACCAACTCGTCTACAGTATCCATGCAGCCACCTTGTCTAGACTAAA